TATAGTAATACAAAACATATCAGCTGTATACAAGAGGTGGGTTAGAAACAGTGCAAAGATGAAATAGGGATTGACTTGACATAGAGTTATCTATTACATAAGGGTGAATTGTTGTACAGTTGTATGGAGTATGATATGAATGTAGTCCTGTATCTCACTGTTTCAGCAACATGGTTTAAAGTTCAGATTGGATAAGGCTAGACTCAGCCTGTGGAAAATTAATGCAAGTCACTGTATTGTCCTCACAAAGTAAGGAAACATGATGCGTGTGTGTTTTGGTGACTCAGGCCACGCTCTTCGACTCTCTCTCTTTTTCAGGAATTTCTGGATCCAGCCTAACTCCTGAGAATCTGGGTTGGGACTCATTTACTGTCAATGGGCAGCCCACGCTTTCTCCCTCCCTCTCTCTCCCCCTCTTCCTCTTTCTCTCTCTCTCTCTCTCCCCCTTCATTCTATCTTGCTCACCCTTTATCATTCCCTTTCTCCCCTTTCTTCTCCCTCTACTTCTCCTTTTTCTCTCTCTTTTTTCTCCCCTTCTTCCATTCCCTCTCTTCCCTTCTGCCTATCCACTCTCTTTCTCCAACACCCTCACTCATTTTTCTCACTGTTTCTCTCCTCTTCCTACTCTCACTCGCCCACTATCTCTCTCTATCTTTCTCAAACCCTCTCTCTCGCGCTCTCCTTCCCTCTTTATTCCTCTCTTTCCCACTCCCTCCTCTCTCTCCCTCTCTCCTGTTCCTGGACTTTTATTGGGAAGTTCCAGGTTAATGTCTAACTCCAGGAGGACACATAGTTCAGGAGTCATGAGGACAGACTGATACACTGGGTCAATAATAACTGCAGAGTCAGCAAAGAAAAGTACTACATTTTAATCTATGTCATCACAGACGTGTGTGGTACGCTAACTGCAAGATGGCACACTTAGATAGGACAATAAGTCTATAGGTATGAACATGTGCATTTTGACTGTTACATTTAGACATTGAAGATTTTTCTTTTTTATTCCTATTGATTGATCCAGATTTTCATTTTTTATTTGACCTTGCCTTATTAAATACAAATTGTACTATTTAACATTTTCAATGGAAGGGGCCTCTACGTGATTGGGGAAATGAAGATATTATTATTCTTACAGCCTGGAATATTCTACAGTATGTCAGCTGATTCCATGTCAGTTCTGCTGACAGATGACCTGCTCACAGTAAGAATGCCATACTATGGAACGTTCAAGGCAAAGTGATTACATTTCCATAGAGACAAGCAGTGGACCCTTCCCCAGAAAAGTTACATAGTGTATCTTTACTTATCTGAAGATAATTTACAACACAGACTCTTAATCAGTCTAAAAAATACCTGTACGTGAGTAATATTACTTGTAAGTCAGTGTACTCTAACTTGGCTACACTTCCTTCTGTGAGTAAGTACGTGTGACTGAAGCTTTTCATTTGGCCAGAGCATTATGTTTTCATAGAATTTCAGTTAGTCTGATCGAGGAAATGAGGGATGAGGAGAGTTAAACAATGAGGAATTTAAAATGATAAATACTAAACCTAAACTTTCATTTAAAGGTCCTATATTACACAAGTTGGTCTCTTGTGAGATTGAAGCCATGTTAGAATGTTGTTACCTCCTCAAAAACATGCCTGGAGTTGTGTTTTGTTTCATTCACACATTTTGAGTAATCATTTGTCATTAGTCTGTTTACATCTCTCTGGCTCAAAATGCTTTGTTCCACTTTATGATATCATGTAGTGGTAGTTTTCAAATTAACTTGCTAACTAGCTCCCTTTTACCTTTAGTTCAATAGAGATTGGCAGGGTTGAAATTACCCCAGTGATTCTAGGGAAGGTATATGCAGTTTAAAAACACAGTAGAGCACTTATTGTATTACCACATGACATCACAAAGTCAAACAAGATGGTTTCTATTTAAGAGAAAAACTCAGCCTGAATATTAAGGATTTGTGTGAAGGAAGCAAAACACAACTCTAGGTATGTTTTTGATGAGGAAACAACATTATAAAATAAATCAGAAAAGAGTGTATGGGCCCTTTGAAAGTATTATGACTCAAGTGTGATGCATAATGTTTTTACGAGCAGTCACCCAGCAGCTGATCTTATTGTTCCATGGCTCTTTTGTTTATTTCTGTTCTGTCTTTGCTAAATTCATTCCTAAGCTCTGTACAAAGAGTTCTAAAAGTACTTGTTTACACACCCTTTAAATAATCGTGCAATTTTATGGTCTATTGCATTCACTCTTACTTGTCCAGTTTATTTTTTTTATTGTGGATCCTGATTAGAGCAGTCATTCCAATTCTTTCTGGGATCCATCTTTTTTTTTTCAAAGAAGTTTCTTGTAATATAAATATAATAAAATAGGCTACGAGCTTGTTTCTGAATAACATTGAATAGAACAGCTTATTGTTCGGTTTCAGACAAACAATTCCTTCCTGATTTGAAGGACTTTGTGAGGACTCTGTGAGGACCGTTCCCTATTCAGAAGATATAATGTTTTGATTTGAATTGCTTAATTGCTATGACCATGGAGGATGCTTGAAATACATGAATAGACAATAAATACAAAAATATGCCTACATATCTGCAAGAGACAAAAGCTTTATGTTAACAACACTAAATGGTTTGAACTTTTGCATTTCTTGCAGTGCTCCTTCAGATATTATTTAGCTTTTTTCTCATTTTGATTGTGTGCATTGTTTAAAGGAACCTGAGCTGTTAACTTGAAAACTACCACTTGATGACATCAGAGGGTTGAACAGAGCATTTTGAGCTTTGGAGATGTAGGCAGTCTTGTATATGTCTATGTACATGTACGAATGAAACAAAACACAACTCCAGGCATGTTTTTGATGAGGTAACAACATTATAACATGACTTGGGTAATATAGGACCACTACTGTTTTACCACTTGAACGATAAAAATATAAATCAGATGTTGCGTTACTCTGAACTTGAACTGAACTTGAGTAATACTCTTTTGAAGTGACAGTACTCTTGAATAGTTCTCTACTCTATATTGCTCAGAGGTTACTTGGAGCTGACACTTTGCTTTAGGAGTCCTGTGTCTTTAAACCAGTTCCGGTCACACCTTGATTGTAGTTTTCCTCCACGTCACAGATCCAGTGGGGAGTGTTCTTACTCACTGTGTTGCATTCCTGAACAGCGTGTACCAGCGCATTCCTGCTGTTTTCCAAACAGGAAGCACACAGACATTGCCAAATCAATTGTTCAGTACCATGTTTGTTCTTATCCTCTCGCCTAAACAGTACATTGGCTCTTAATCTATGGGTCCAGTTTGGTGTTATATGTATATTGTTTATTTATACAGTATATAGCTTTACGTTTATAGCTTTTCTATACTTTTTGGTTAAGCTCGGTTTAAAGAAACACTATGTAACTTTTCTTGTTAAATTGTACTGAGAATTGTCTTGATGACTTTGCAGCTGATGTCATCCATGCTCCCTGGGGGTGTGAAGCTAACTGAAAGCACTACTCTGTAAGACGCTGTTACTCAAGACTTAATGTGAGCGTTATTTTGACACAATTTGACCAGAAAGAGCTGAGTTAGTTGGAACTACGACAGGTGAGATGATTTGTGCTGTTGAACAAGTTTCTCACTCATACAATTAGAGTCACAAGCCAGCTAACATTGGCCAACAGTTTTCCAGTTAGTCATGCTCACCTTTTTGTTGAAACTCCTTAACAGGACCATGAATACTTTTATGTACTCAGATTAATCACAGGCTTCTGAAAATGTGTTGTTTAAATCCATTTTGTATTTTTCCTTGAGTATTCTTAACATCTTAAAACTTTTTTGTTTGTGTTTGCATTGTGTCACCATAACTGCTGAACATTCCACCAATAGAACTGCATGTAGAACATTGCTTTACCAAGAATGTTCCACAATATGGCATTCAATTTACAATAAACTTATTTCTCTTCAGGTGACAGGCAAATGGTGCCACCAGGCCAAGTTACAGGTCAGATCTATGGAGAAAAATGTATACTCACAGTAAGAATGCCTGTTTTATTATGTTTTTCAACAATAAAAACCCATTGTAATAAAAAGACACAAACAAGCAGCTTATCCCCAACACCAGAAAAGTTACATAGTGCACCTTTTAAGATTTTTGTTTTTTCTTGGGGAATACAAAAAACGTAATGCATTTTCCAAATATTTCCCACTTATAATATGTGGATGGCTACTACTTGCACTTACTGAATACTAACAGCTCCATCTATGTGAAGAAAACATTACAAATAGCCTATTGTGTCATTTCAAGTAGGCAACTTCCTTGTCATTTCTAAATGACCTAAAACAGTGCGCTTGCAGTACGTGTAGGCATCGCTGTCTCCTCAGTAGTGGTGGTTTTGAACAAGCAACTTCAAGAGCCTCAAACAAAAAAGCTGAGATCCAAACTAGACCCAGAGTGCCATCTGCTGGTGAAAAAGGAACTGTACATTGTATGAATGTTAACTATGGCATGTAAGTGAAATCCAAAATAGTTTACAATTTGGAGGCAATAAGAGAAGATGTCCATTATACCATGCCTTCAATTAAGTATAACAAAGGTGCACTATCTAATCTTTCCAATGGAGGCCTAATGCATGCTTGTCTCCATGGAGATGTAATTGACTGCCTGGTAAATTTTTGCAGGTGTTTTTATTGCTTAAATATACCAAATATAAAATTCTTACTGTGCTCGAGGTTGCCTCTCCATAGGTTTAGCATGTTACTTCACCTGGTGCCGTCACCTGTCTCCATGGTGATAGTCAGTATGGCATACTGTGTAACATTTTAGACAAAACAATAAGGGCTCCATGGAGACAAGCAGCTGACAGAATTTGTTCATAATTTACAAAACCTCAACAAGAATCATGAGTGACAAATGAAAATATATTAAAGAAATGCAATTTTGTACAAATAAAAGAATTTATGTTGTTAAAACTAAGAAAACAAACAAAGTAAAAACAGGACTTGAATTGATTACACAAAATATATATTTAATATGGGCATATCCTCAGATGGGACAAATACATTCGAATGAGAAGTACAGCTGTCAGACTCCACAATGTTTAGAGTCATAAACTGAAACTTAGCAGCTCAAAAAAAAATCTCTTCTTTGGACAAACCCGCTGAGTGACAGATGCAGCATGCTAAAAATTAAAAATCTAAATTATACAAAACTTAATGCCTTTGCCAGCTCTGGAAAAAAATGAATTTTACACACAATTAGAAACAACATATTGTACAAGTTGCAGTGCTGGTGTTGGATTTTTGGTTTGTTCACAATTAGAGCTGAATGATAAATGAAAATCAATTCAAAATTGCAATTGGTCACAATTGGCAAATAAAGACTGAAATTATTTTGTGAGAACAATGCAGAAAACAAAATATCTTGTCTCAGTTTGGTTTTATACATCATGGACTTCAACTTTCTATTATAGGTGAAATTTTGAAGACTTTTAACCATTCAGATTATATCATATTTTAATTGTTAATTGCTATGGCAACTATAAAATTTTTTCGTCAGTCTGAAATCCATGAATAAAACCAGTTAATTCAATAGTTAACCTATAAACATGACCTCTCTAAAACATGTTTTTTCTCAAATGTTAATGTTTTGGGCTTGTTTTGAAGTTAAACAAATCTTCGATTTTAAAATATACTGCAAATCTACCCTCTATCAAAATAGATGCCAGAAAACTTGCAATTCAACTTTTTTTCCCCACCCCAAGTTCATTCAGCTCTACACTATCCCTGGTTCCCTGTTCAGATCCCTCCAGTCTGATAAAGGGTCATGCTATTGAATATTTGTATTGCTGGCGAAAAAAAAAGTAGAAAATCACATACATGTACAGTACAGGACATTGTAGCCGCAGCCCACACATTCATAGCACAGTCTCTTGCATTTAAAAAGTTGGCTAGAAATAACTTTAACCCTTTAGTACACAACAACCCGTGACCAGCCACTAATGAATGAGCCCTCTTTTGGAATAGACTGTTTAGAAATAAAAATTAAATACATATTCAGATGAGATGAAATGTAGGGATGTTGGGATGAACTATTTTACATTTAAAGGGCCCATATTACGCAATTTCTGATCAATTATGTTGTTTCCTCATCAAAAACATATCTGGAGTTGAGTTTTCTGTTTAACACACAAATCCTGCATATTTAAACACTCTGTTCCACCTGATGTCATGTGGTAATACAGAAAATGCTCCTGTTTTTAAACTATACACCTTCACTAGAATCAGACCTGGAATTACCAAGCTTTACTAAACAAATGGTACCTGTTAACTTGAAAACTACCACTTTATGACATGACAAGGTAGAACAGATCATTTTGAGCTTTGGAGATGTAGACAGACTAATAATAAAGGATTACTCATACATGTGTAAATAAAACAAAATACAACTTCACATACTTTTTCAGTGAGGTTACAACATTTTAACATGGCTTAAAGCTCACAGGAGTCAATTTTGCACAAATAGGACCACACTTTTAGTAATATGAATCATAAATATCAGATTTAAATTCTGTAAGTCCACCAATATGGGATGTTATGGGACACACATTGGTTTATAAGAAACTTTGAATGAAATATGGTAATGAATTAGTATGAATGAAGAGAAGTTATTATATTTTTTTTCCAATGATTAATAATGATGTTTGTATGAAATTGCTGTTTCTTTACACAATCATTTTACATTTTTACATTGTGAAATCCTAAATAAACCAGTATAAGGAGCACACAATATTTGGTCATTTTAAACAGACACACTTTAAATAGTTTGGGCATCTTTTCTTTATCACTACTGTACATTATTGTATTTCCATTCAGTTTCTTGTGACACCTGAAAAACTAAAGCCCTGAGCATAAACTTATTTAACATATTCATGAGGAAAAAAAAATATTGAGGATTGGCAGTTTCTATTTCATACCAACCCTAAAACTACAGGTGCGATATGCCACTTTTTAGTAGTGTCTGCCACCTGCTTTTCTCTATTTTGATGCCTGGAATGTTCCACAGTGCGGCATTAAACTTAGCTTGCATTTTGTGTTTTTTGTATTGCTAAAAAAAAATAAAACTTGGAAAAACCTGCATCACAGAGAGCACGATCACGTATAGATTCGACCAATAACGAATTCAGCAGACATCACTCATCTTCATAGAGATGGAAGTGTTAAATGCCATTGAATATACCACAGTATGGCATTTGTAGGGGTAGACATGAAATAACATCTCTATGGAGGCAAGCAGGTAGCGACAGTTACACAGTGCACCTTTAAAGGAGACATATTATGCAAGACCTTTCAACCATGACATTTTGTGTCTTTCATTCACACATGTTCAATTAAACCTTGTTGGTGAGATCCTTTTTTCTGATTAGACATAAATTCTTTGTTTCATCTGGAGCATTTTCTGTTAAATTTCTTTAATCAATTTCTGGTTGCTCAGTCCAATAACTGTAACCACTGGCTGGATTTAATTGTACAACACATGTGCAAAAACATGCCCAGCAGGCTAAAAACTCCAGCTAAAAAGTCCTGACTAAGCCCATAGTGGCAACTGATTGCTTAAAGAGGCACTAGGTAACTTTTGTGCTGGAGGATCTGTCTGCTTGAGATTATATTACATTGCCTGGAATGTTCCACAGTATGGCATTTAACTTGACTATCTTACATTTATTCAATTGTTTTTATTGCTAAAGAAAATATATTGGAAAAACATGCTTTCTTACTGAGTTACTTGTGTCCATGGCACTGGCTAAGTTTAATGCCATTCTTTGGAACATTTAGGCAAAGTAAGAAAATCTTCAAATAGCCAAGTTAGTTGTTGGACCCTCAAGTGGGAAAGTTACATAATGCTCCTTTAAAGATTGACAACCCTGGTCCAAAACAAGTCATGTAATCCAAGATAATTCATAATATATCTCCTTTAGTCCAATTCCCAACCCCAACCTGAACCTGAACTTAAATCTATTAAAACTATGAGAACATCCAGCAAAGTCCACTCCATCAGGACCAGAGAGGGGTGAACAAAACCAAACCAAAATGGAGGAAGGAGAACAGCTCAATGGAAATAGGCTCGGTAGCAGGCGTATGCGCTGAGGGCCACAGCGGTGTACAGGCACACGTTGGTTAAGAAAGGTGACCATGTTCCCTGTTCTGGAAAGTCCTCGGGTTTGGGACATGGGCATTCCTCTGTCGTCGTCTCCTCCTCCTGCTGCTGCTGCTGCTGCTGCTGCTGCTGCTGCTGGTGATGGTGATGGTGGAGGTGGTAGGATGGGGTTGAATTTTCAAAGGTGTTGTTTTGGACTCCAGCATGGCCATCCGGATGATCAGTGCCATCAGGAATAATTCTCTGTCGCAACTCTGGCTCTTTTGAAGACCTGAATGGCAAATAATTTAGACATGCATTAACCTTTTATTATACTTCAATGATCCCTTTACTATTAAGTGTATTACGTTGTGTTATTGTAAACTCGAAATGTTAGGTCAATGTAATTTCCTACATGCAGCAATATATTTTGTGTAGAACAACTTATTTTTAATCTTTCAAGGAGACAGTATGCAAAATCAACTTTTTTGAGCTTATAACCATGCAATATTTTAGTGTCTGGCCCCCTGTGACCCCAGCCCTTGGGACAACGGATGGAAATTAGCCTTAGGCTACAATCCGGTGTGTTTACATTCATGTTGTCATGTTTGTTCATTAACATGCTCTGTCCCAATCAAATAAATAAATAAATAAATAAATAAATAATAACACTGGAATTAGACTCATTCATGCATGTTTGAGTAATCTTGCATTTGAAGCTTTCCATTTTACCTACACCCATTCACACACATTGATAAAGCAGCATAATTCATCTGAATCAGGTTTCATAGTTCATAAATGTCATTGTATATTTTTCAAACTAAATCCTTAGAATAATTTAGCATGTTTGACTTAAGATTGCAAATATTATGACCACATAATTATTCAGATAAAGTGCAGTTGGATGCTTTTTCACTAAATTGTAAATCTCCATTATTGATGTCATAATGGACCAAATCACCAAGTTTTAACTTGGACTATAGGTTCAGGTTTAGCATTTGTGGATTTCTTAAATTATTGTTGCATCCAGGTGGCCTCAGATACAAAAAACAAACAAAACAAAAAAACTGCCACTTGACTAATTCTGTCTTTTTTTAATTCACATTAATTATGTCTTTTATGAAATAGCACCGTCCCTTTTCGTATAAAGCACTTTCTAGAATCAGAAAGCAGCCAAAAAATTATTATGTAGTTTTACCCAAGGCAGTGGACCGTGTTTATGGGGAAAAATCGTGGCTCTGGTTTGGGGTCCCTGGGCGGGGGCAGCGGTGGAGGACTGAACTCTGGAGGCTCGTCTTCTTCACGTGAAATCTCTTTCCATGAATCCTGCTTGGGACAAATAAAGTCTCTTTTATCTTATCTTAACATCAAACCACGACCAACCTGACTATAGCTTTTCTTTGTCTGCTTTTTGTCCTCTGGGCAGACAGTAAATTATAAATCCTCTTTCATTTCCAAGGAGCATTTGATTCAGATTCAGCTTATTTCATGACCTATACTGCAAGTTTAAATCAAAAGTACAACAAGGTATTAAGTCAAAACAAGATCATGCAAGAATATAAGAAGCAACAATATCAACAAAACCTATCTACGAATGCAATCCTAGAATCAGAAAACAGCTAAAATATAATTTTTTTAATTTATATTTTGCAGTTTTACCCAAGGCAGTGGATCATCAAAATATATATTAAAAAAAAGGAAAATCACTTGCTCCTCTGTGATAGTAATAGAATCTATTTTCCACATCTTGTGTGTGTAATGGCAGCTTAATAGTCATATGGCAGTAGCTTTAGGACTGTGCAATCCAGTCTAAAAATCATGATTTCAACTATAACGAAACAAAAAATAAATAAAATAATTTTTTCTAACATCACAAGACTTAACTAGTAAAATGTATTAAATATACTAGGTCTGTATTTCCAAGGAGCTCAGGAAATATCCTAATTAACAATAATTTCAATTATTACCATAATAAAAAATCTCCTGATAATAATGTGTGGGCTGAGCAGTTAATCGAATTTGAGTTGAGACTGAGATTCAGTCACGTGTACACGTAAATAATGATATGCTTGGGTTTATATTAGACAGCTCCACAGCCAATTCTGTCAGAAAATACATAAGATTTGGAGTAGATTTAAGAGTTAAATATTTTGTGTTAAATAGCAGTGACTTCAAGTATTTTATGTCCAAAAATGAATACTTAAATGATAAATGATTATTTTTACATATTATCCACACTGTCAAAAGGTTGAGTTCTTGCCTGTAGAGTCTTGTCTCCGTCAATGTACTTGGCGCCTTCGATCACAGCAAGGTAAGAGAAGCGCAGCTGGTCTGCCGTTTGGATCAGACCCATTCTGTGACGTCGCATCTCCAGTAAAACATCACGGATACGAACAGATGAAGGATCCCGCCGCATGGACATCTGCACAACAATAACACAATATTTTACTGGGAGGATTTGTGGGAATGTATTAGTAATTTCATTTGTTTATGGAATTCAGATTCAGTTTGTGGGAGAGTCCACTGTGCAACTAATAACATAATACATATTACTGAATACAAAATACAAACCAATAGGAGGCAGGTGTCCACTAAACAGAAGGTCCCGGAGCGGCCGATGCCGGCGCTGCAGTGGACCACCACGGGACCTTGGTCCGAGTTCAGACAGCCAGATTCCCGAACTTTGTACAGGAAGTTTAGGAAGGATGCAGGAGACTCTGGGACTCCAAAATCTGGCCAGGTAGTGTAGTGAAAATGTAGGATCTCACGAGTCTCTCCTGTCTGCAAAAGTACCAGCAGATATGAAACAATGGCTCCCTGTTAAAGATGTTACCTTTGCTCTGATTTGCACTGATAGAGAACAAACAGTAAAATAATATTTACACATAGATTTTCCAGCTCCAGCTGACGAACAGTGTAGTACGATTTAACATCCTCTGAAACAAAGTTGACTTTAAAGTTGGTGTCTTCAAAAATAGCATCTTTTTCCTCTTTCTGAGGCCAGTACTGGGCACATTTGATCTGAGCATAGAATCAAGACAGAAGTGTATTATTTATTTATTTAAAACAAGAACAGTGCACAGAAAACATTAATCTTAGAGAGAAAGGATGCTCTGTGCCAGACATGCCACTTTCCATCTACAGTCCTTGGGCCATTATACAAGTTATACAAGTTGTTTAAAAAAAAAAGTTGGGCATAAATCACTAAAACATTAGAAATAATATAATTACCGAGCCCTTTTCAATGACTCTGTTGAGCATCACCACACCTCGTGACCTTTGTTCCCAAACCATCTCCCAGAAATGGCCACATGTTGTTGGAAGGGGTCCCTAAAACACACCAAGGGTTCATGGGGTAATTATATTGTAGCATTTTCATTTATATCCTGTGCAAATTATGACCACATTGAAATGGTAAAGATGTTAGAGTAAATTTCCCTCACCTGAGTGAGGATGTACTTCCTCTGTGTCTCCTCCACAGTTATTAAACTTGCATTGATGTAGTCATTAGCACCAAGCTGCAGATGTATTCTACTGTGATCAACTGTGAGAAATAACAGCAGTGAAACTGTGATGAACGCCCAGGCGTGAACATCATTCACCAGCAACAAAGCTCCAGAGAATAAGACCCAAGAGTCTGTTTTAAACTGTAACTCTGACTTAAATAGGAAAGTGTTACTCACAAGGGCTGACATCTCTGTAGCGGTTCCGAATCTTGTTTTCAGGTAGTTTGGCAACTTTGCACGGCAGATCACATGACTGCTGTCGAATATCCTATATATAATAGCAAAACATGTGACATTTTCATTAGATACACAAACATTCAGTTAGGGCTGGGTACCATTAATTAGGTACATACGGTGTACACAAATAAAAAAATAAGGTATTATAGGTGGTATTAATATAAATGTACATATACATAAATATATCTATATGTATATTTATACATATAGATATACATATATCTCCATACAGATAGACAGATAGACAGAGCCTTTACTCACTACTCACAATGTATGTTTTTTTAAGTAGACATTTACTAGGAAGCTTTGTCACCACAAATGAGTGATGAAAACTAAACATTTTCTTCCAAGAAATGGTATTTAATAGAATTTATGAACATTATTTTGTCATTCTAGATAATCATTAATACAGGAATGGGTCTCACAAAGTATAGTTCAAGTTTCCATACGTGGATTCTGTCCAGTCAGTAAAGTGAAGTTTGGAGGTTTGTCTTTGAAGGCGGTCTAAATATCTTTCTTAACTTTAAAATTTATGTGAAATTTGTAAATTAAATCATAGGACCCGTGGCAGAATTGCTCTTCACAAAGCTAATGAGGGCTCAAATTAAAACCTTTCCATACCACCACAATCCACCTCTTATCGCTGGCTTTAACATGCTTGACAGTTCATATCAGGTAGCTTGCATTTGTAGATCTTTTTTATATCTGATTCAGTGCAATAGCGTTCACTACTACCTTGATTTGTGTCGGTCCTTACCTGATAGATTTCCATCCAACTCCCGTTTTCATCGATATCCTGAAACTCGGCTTCCATCGCAGTCCTCCGTCTAACGCTGCCACTCCTTCCCAACAAACAGCCTCACGTTGCGCACAGTAATGTAACCACTTCTGCTTTATCTGCCGCCGTTCAATTGCTGGAAACTAATCTATCACTACTATTCAGTAATTCCGAGTAAGGGTTCATAGATTACCGTGTGTACCTTTCGCTCATGGCCTAGCGGAAACACGCCACAAGCTCCTCCTACGCGAAGCCGCCGTACTTGCGTGTCTGAAAAAAGGATAATTTGCATATATTTTAATGATTCTTGAAAGTCAAAGGATTAAATGGTTGTATCGGTGAAGTAGTCTTGTGTCTAACTTTAGAAAACTCACTTACCATTACTGCTACTACGGCGGCTGTACCGGAGACAGTGGAGCGAGTACGCGCGGGAGGCATCTTGTTGAAAGGCGTGCGTAACGGGAGCGCGCACGTACAAGTATAGGCAAATCACAAGCAAAAGAGCGTCATTTAATCAGGAACCTAAATCGACAGAGTGATTTGATCTTATAAAAATAAACTGTGTGAATGTATGTATTGCATAATTTAGATGCAAAGAAAGAAGTGTTACTATGGGACATTCCAGGCAAAGCAATACACATTTACGTGCAAACAAGACGGCGAAGTAGGTTTCACGCTGGACGTTGGATATTCGCCTCCGCAACTTTGTGCCGCACGGTGCGGGGAGCTGTATTCCGAGGCGCCGCTAGGTACGCAGAATAGGGATCGCCAATAAAGTACGCTTGTAGTGAAAGGAGTTTGTTTCAAAATGTAATCAACCGAAATTATCAAACGCAGTTGTGAAAAAAACAAACTAATAAAAAATAATAGAAAAAGAGGGATTGTGCACTTATATTTTATAAAATATTTAATATTTTTATATACTTTGGAGGTTAATTAATACATTCATTTTTTATTTCAATATCTTCCAGGTCAAGTGACCTAAAATCTTTGAATAAAATTATTAAAGTATGGTAGTCTCCTTTTGGATTTGAAAATTAACACTTTGTTGGATAAAAAATCTGTGATTTTTTTTTCAATAGCTTCTAAGGCAGGTGACCTATCAACTGCAAACCATGTTATTTTAGTAGTACTAGTCCTCCAGTATCATATTCCTTGTTGTTTTAGCAATTGAATGGGTGGAAGAGCACAGACCCCTAAGAACAATTGTGTGCATTCTAGTGCAGCACTATCCAGTTTGCGAGGTGGTCATTCACACAGTAGGCCAGATGTTTTTATAGAACTGAAATAAACTCTTTATAGAGTGGTGAGAATGGGATTAGTGGTAGCAGGTAGCGGGATTATGGGTTCCGGCACACGTAGGAGTTAAAGGAAATGTAGCTGCAGATGAAAAAGGAAAGAAATCTAGCAAGAAATCAAATGTGGATTTAGAAGTAAAATGAAGTAAAATAGAGATAAAATCTATAGTTAAACAAAAAGTGAAGGAAAAAATGGCAAAAGGAATGGGATATCGAGAGGATAGGTATTCAGAAAAAAAGTGGAATCAATGAGGAATATAACGGGAAACAGGAAAACAGATATTTTAATTTCTAGATTAAAGTTTGGACATTCAGGATTAAATTATATAAAATTGGAAAACATAATAGCAGGCATTGTGCCAGGCCAGAAACAGTAGGGCATGTATTTATTTATTTATGGACTGTAACAAATATACAGAGGAAAGGAATAGAATGAAGAAAGGGATCAAGGACCTTAAAATAAAATTTAACTAAATAAAACTATTACAGCAGCACCCAAGAACGTTGTATTTAAGATTGTTAGAATGTGATTCATTATTTTTGCTTTAGTTATTATTTGATCACTGTTGTTATTTGTGATTTAATTTGTAAGTCGCATTTCAGTTCACACTCCTCTTCAGTTGGTGGCGGTAATGCACCAGTAGTTGTTTGCCAACCTCCAATAAAAATCAACTAGAAGAAGAAGAAGACGTAGTACGTGCTCTGTTTACGTCTCATCTGTGACCCTGCTGCTGATGTTGTTAACCAAATTTCCATGCAAGTGTGCACGTTTAAGGATAAAATATGGCCTTATTTTAGATTTTAAAGTGTTAATGTTCACATGAATATCGTATTTAGATAGTTAGTCATTAGTGCCAACATGGAGTGCCTGAAGCTTTAGCTTTTTTTGGACCTTCTGATTGACAGAAGGAGAAGAGACAAGGGACTTTTCTGCTAATGCGTTAGCTTAGAGCATCTTAGCTTTTGACACAGCCTTACAGAAGGAGTGACAGGTATCAAATCCAACGTCTTAGCAACTTGTTTTGATGTTTGTGGCTTCGTGGTCTGTCTCCTTTCTTCTGCTTTCTACAAGAGCTAACTCTGTAGTGCTAAACTAACCATCCTTGTGGTGAACCGCGTTGTTGTTGTTTTTGGTAGCTGTCTGCTGGCTAATGTGTAGCTATAATTATTGCCTCCCAGTGGTGGAAAAAGTGTTCAAATCCTTTAACGGTAAGTTCAACTACCATGACAAAATATTTTAGTCCAAGGACAGCCAAATGTATACAAATATGCCTATAAATTACATGTGTGGTAATGCTGCATTATGTTTGCTCAAATCTTATTTCTCTTCCTGTTTCAAAAAAGTTTATTCTAATATTAAGAGATAAGTCATTACTACTATTGCAAAATGCTACAAAACTGCAGCTATTAAACGGTGCGTATTTACTTTATTTTATTTGACTGTGAGTTTGTACAAAATATTATTTCTGCAAATGTAACAGGGTTGGCCACAAACCTGTTTTGTATCCATACTTCCTGGACAGAGAATCACCCTTAAATATGACAGGTTAAGTTAATAGCATTACACACAATACCAAATGTCTTTTAGTTTGTAAACACTTACAATTTTTTATCTAGCACCTTTATTAGCAAACATGATTAACATAATTTCTTGATTACTGGTGACATTTAATTTCCACTAATCTGAATTCTGTTTCTGTTGCTTGCTGTTATATTCTGCAGTAGTTTCTCATGTGGCATCTTACATTGCATGTTTATAATATTCACAACAAATGACACTACCAATTATGTATTAAGTGAACTTGGTTTTATATTTTTGCTTTTATTTATTGATAGATTCTCTGAGTAGTTTGCGAGCTTTGGGCAACTGCCAGAACAACATGGCTCCCAAAGACATTATGACAAATTCCCATGCCAAGTCAATCCTGAATGCCATGAACGCTCTTCGGAAGAGTAACACGCTCTGTGACATCACTCTGAGGGTCGAGAGCACGGACTTTCCGGCTCATCGGATTGTACTCGCTGCCTGCAGTGATTACTTCTGTGCCATGTTCACCAGTGAGGTAAATAATCTCAAAGATGCACTGTATAACCTTTCTGGTGGACAGTTTACCACCTGCTTGAAAATGTATTTCATTGTCTAGAATGTTCCAAAGTATGGCATTAGACTCTATCTTGGATTTATTTAAGTTACCTCCCCACTGACTTGACCTGTGAGCAGGTCTAAAGATGGCACGGTGACTGAGTGGCTAGCACTCATAAAATAAAGAACTAAATAAATAAAGAAGGTTCCAGGTTCGATCTCTGGGTCGCCCGGGCCTTTCTCTGTGGAGTTTGCATGTTTCTCCCCGTGTCTGGATGGGTTTCCTCTTGGCGCTCCGGTTTCCCCCATCAACCCAAAACATGCTACCTGCTACATAGGTCTCCATAACAGTTTATAGTCATGGTCAGTTAAATACAATCAATCAATGAACCTGCCCAGGGACAACAGGTGGAAATTAGCACTGGTGTTAGTGGCTAGACACTTCACCCACATTGCCTAGTATGAAAGTGGTGTGTGAGTGAGTGATAATGTTTGTCGGAGAGACCGTTGGTGCCGATTGGCATGGCAGCTGCGCTTCTGTCAGTCTGCCCCAGGGCAGCTGTGGCTAAAACAATAGCTTACCATCGTTAGGTATAGAGTGAATGAATAATGCTGAATGTAATGCTCTGTAAAGCGTCTTCGTGACAAAAAATGTCTGTGAAAAGCGCTATATAAATAAAGACTTACTTACTAAAGATCTTGGAACATTCCAAGCAAAACAATAACATCTGCATGGAGACTACTAGGTGGTGCCAAAAATGACAAATTAAATGTAAAAATTGGTCAGAAATTCCAGTAACAGGTTTTAAGTAAGTAATAGGTATTATAACTTATTTATGATCTCTAAAAACAAAACTAATAAATAATAAAATGTAACTGAAAATTTTGATAATCCCTATTTGCATGTTAGAAGATAATTCAGACAGTGTACTATTGTACTCCTGTTTTTAAGCCTGATGTGTTTTACAGCTAGCGGAGAAGGGGAAGTCTTTTGTGGACATTCAGGGCCTGACTGCGTCGACCATGGAGATCCTGCTGGACTTTGTTTACACAGAGACGGTTTTGGTGACAGTGGAGAATGTACAAGAGCTGCTGCCGGCCGCATGTCTACTACAGCTCAAAGGTACATTTACAAATGCAAATACCTAACAAATATATGAAGTATAATGACATTTTTTTCACACTCAGTACTACTAAAATAAAAAGATTTGTCTTTCTAGGTATAACCAAATCTAAATCAAGCATATCGCTTTTCCAGGTCTAAACTAGGGCTAAGCCAAGTCTAAAAGTGGGCTACATCATTTCCACTGTAGAAATTATCCAAAGGAGGACAAAAATGATCAAATTAACTCAATTTCTGAAGCAGTATAAACCAGTTCTATGAATTAATACACATTCAAAAGTCAGTGGGAATTTTACTTTCTGAAGTCCCCGCACTATAAATTCACAAATTATAATCTAATAACACACAATATCAAATGAAATATTGATACTTTGCAGCTGATTTCATCCAACATTCTCTGGGGGTATGAAGCTATCTTAAAGCACTTTTCTGTTAGAAACTCAATTACTCAAGTTAGACTTAATCTGAGCTTGATTTCAACACAATCTGACCAGAAAGATCTGACTTGGTCCAAACTACAACAGGTGAGATAATTTGCACGCTTAAACAAGTCTCTCACATGTGAAAGTTTTTCAAAGTTTCAAAAGTTTTTTTCAGTTATTCACTTTGACCTTTTTTGTTAAAAATCTAACTCCTAAACATGACCATGAACACTCGTATTGATCACAAGTTCCTTAAAATGTGTTATTTAAATCGATTTTTAAATTAACGGTGCCACACTGACACACATTTAAATGTTTTCATTATATTATATGACATGATATGATATCATATGATATCATGTCATATGATGGCCAAATAGGATGGATTTCAGAAATGTGTAAACTAAATCAAAATATTTTCTGTCTTGTTAGGTGTGAAAAGAGCATGCTGTGACTTCCTGGAGAGTCAGTTAGACCCTTCGAACTGTCTGGGGATTCGAGACTTTGCAGAGACTCACAACTGTCTTGAGCTGATGCAGGCAGCTGAGCTGTTCTCCCAGAAACATTTCTCTGAAGTGGTGCAACACGAGGAGTTTATGCTGCTCAGTCAGAATGAAGTGGAGAAGCTCATCAAATGTGACGAGATACAGGTAAACCTTTTGAATTGGTGCTCTTCAGATTCTAGAATGTAACACAATGTCTAGTTGTGTCATTCCTGCAGATGGGGGGCAAGAGCCAGTTTACATTGTGTTTTGCCATAATATATAAGGTAAATGCACACATTTTGAACTTGATCATTCCTATTAATCGCAAACCCAAAAGCTCACTGTATTTAAACAATATTCATTTTAACTGCTCCCATCTGTATTAAATATTATTGGTCTATAGAATATTGTGGATATTGTTACCTGGAACCCAGCAATACAGGAATGTAACACAGCACTTTCATTAGTATGATAAAGTGGGTAGGGTAAAGGACCCTATTGTAGAAATATCTTTCTCTTGACCTCTTCCGATGAGTCTCAAAACATGCATTTTTAATGAATTCCAATGACATTTTTAAATATTTTTTGTTATTTAAAAGATCTTATTAAGAACCAAAATTACCAACTTACAGAAACTTTAAAAATGTGTAACCTTTCTCTTAAAAGCAGTACTTTGTCTGCCTACTAGGCCTCTCCTCGTCTAATTGTAAAACATTTTATTGATCACAAACTCATAAGAAAGAGCCCTATGTGTCTCTGTATGCATAATGTATTTGAATAAATGTGATGTGCCAAAGGGCTTGTGAGAGCTAGAAACTAGGTAGATAGATGACCAACTTTCTTATTTCACAGTTAAAAAATCAGATACCCTAGCCCTTATACCTTCTTCATGTTGGCTTCATTGAAACCAATCAATGGATACTCATCTATGGTCAAAATAATACATTTTGAAATCATCATCCGATGATGTAAAAGTCCGTTCTAAGATTTATATTGGCAGGATTGTTACATGTCTATTGTAAAGTAATTTCAACCACCTCTTTCTAGCATCCAAAAACCTGTAACAATCATGCCCCCCATAGCTGTGAAACACATCTCTGTTAGTGCAGCTTTAATTTGTGTTTCCTTAAAAAATGACTTGAACATAATTTGGTGTAAATGATTTTTTACATTCATATTTGTGTTTGAAACCTCTGAGTAGTTAAAAAAGCATGTACAAACCTGCATCTATGTCACACACAGCTCAGCTCTCTCTCGATTGGACTGACAATGAAATGACAGAGAAGAAACCAGGTCTAAGTTGTGCCTTTGTGTGCAGGAAATTCCTGTTTGAACCACATGACCAACTCTGTGAAAACTACTCATTACGGTTTTGATTTATAGACCATCACTTGACACACGGCCCTCATTTGTGTGTAACATAAATTAGGCCATACATGTCAATCAAAGCCACACTTCTGAAAATCTTTTTTTCTTATTTTAAAGGGTATATATTACTCTATTTTTTGATGTTACAATGTTGTTTCCTCATCAAAAACATAATGGATTTGTGTTTCATTTCATTAACACGTTTAACACACAAAACCTGCGTATTTAGGCAGAATTTTTCCTTTAAACAGAAAACAGTGTTCCACCTTGTGAAGTCATGTGGTTATACAGGAAGTACTTCACTGTGTTTTTAAACTCCATACACCTTCACCATGGATCTATTAAAACCTTCACTAGAATCATTTGATAATTTCACTCAACTGAGGATTGGTTTTAAAATGACCTAGGCTGATCACTGACAATCCAAACTCACTGGATTTTGATTGAAACTTGATCATTCAATCCCTACAATTGTTAAAAAATAACAATACAAAAAAAAATTTTTTTTGGCGCATTGCCCAACCATATTGCTTATTTTAAAACATGACTTAACATTATAGATTAGGGATCATAAAGGCATTTTTGTGTGTGTTTTTGTAGGTGGATTCAGAGGAGCCAGTTTTTGAGGCTGTGTTAAACTGGGTGAAACACAACAGAAAAGAGCGAGAGCCGTATCTTCCTGACATGTTGGAGTTTGTGCGGATGCCTCTGCTCACGCCGCGCTACATCACCGACGTCATCGATGCAGAGGTGAGACTGACAACAGGACTGTGAACCAACTAGGCAAAATCAAGTGTGACATTATTCTGAGAGTAAACATTGTTAGTTTACAGTGCTCCTATTTCACATACACACAAAAAAAACCACAGATAAGCTATTTATAGGTTTCAAGGCAGGCAAACAGTACTCTATTGCAATAGCAATTACTCAATAAAAATCTAAGTATTATGTCTTTTGAATGGAAAATTCCTCACAAAATTCTTAAAACTAGGAAGTAATCTTGCCTGAAAACCACAAATGCCTTAATAAAGGTATTTGTAGAGATTAAAGGCCCTATATTATTACTCATGCATGTTTTGTTTCATTCACACATGTTTGAGTAACCTTTTATTATTATTGTCTACATCTCCAAAGTTCAAAATACTCTATTCAACCATGTGATGTCATGAAGAGGTAGTTCTCAAGTTAACTTCTACCTTTTACCTTTTGTTCAGAAGAGATTGAAAATTCCAGATCTGAAATTGTCCATATGATTCTAGTAAAGGCTTATGGAGTTTAAAAACACAGTGGAACATTTCCTGTGTTACCATAACGTCACAAGATAGTACGAGTGTTTTTTGTTTGAAAAAAATAACTAAATGTGCAGAATTTATGTGTTAAACACGTGTGAAACAAAACACAACTCCAAGTATGTTTTTGATGAGGAAACATAATAGCATAGATAAGAAAATTACGTTATGTGGGCTATGGTAAAGCTTTCAAAAAAATATGATGTTGACAAGAAAATTTGTTTATGTCCAACAGTCAAAATTAAAGGGAGGAAAAACTGGTCAAACTAAAGTCAACTAACTCAACTCATTTTGATAAAGCAACTGGCATATTGCCCTGCCCAAATATAAAGCTAAGGTCCCGTCATCATTGGGGCAGTTTTACTACTGATATGTTTGTTATTTCATCATATTCACTTCCTTCCTTCTTATGCTTCCCTTTCTTGTTTTTTCTCGTTTTAATTGAATTAGGAAATAAAATTAATCTTTCATCATACATTTTAGTCTGAAGTATATGCACATTAAATATTATTGTTTCTAAAATTGTTATGTTATATAAATTTCAACATCTATTAAAGCTGACATCTGTGATAACATACCAGCATGCCATAACATTCCATGATGTGTAATTCTGCTGAAACTTCCCTCTAATTGCCTGTTGCCGTATATCACATAATTAAGCAGGTTTTGGCTTGTTGCAGCCCCTCATACGCAGCAGTCTGCCGTGTCGAGACCTCGTTGATGAAGCCAAAAAATTCCACCTGAGACCCGAGCTGAGGAGTGAGATGCAAGGCCCACGCACACAAGCCAGACTAGGTACAGATTAATACTGTATATGACAAAAAGAAAGTGTTGCTATAGCACTCATGGGGCCATAGATTAAAGTATAGTATAGAATGGGCAAGTAAAAATTCTATAGATTTGCTATTTCAAATGCAAATGTCATGAAATAATTAATTCAGTAATTAAATAATTATGGTTAATAATTAGGGACATGAGGGAAAATTGGTACAAACTTCAAAATCTTCACTTTTAGAAAATAACATCAGTACTTGTAATCCTGTAATGTGTTTTGTTTCTATGGATATGCCATTGCTCTGCCTGGAATGTTCCACAGTATGACATTAAACAGCTCTACCTTACATTTATTCAATTATTGGTGGTTTTATAGCTCAAAAATACCAAGAAAAACAGGCATTCTGACTGTGAGTGGGGTTGCCTCTTCCCAAATCAGAATTGTAACTTGGTCTGGTTTGGTGTCCATGAAAGAAAAGTTTAGTACCATTCTGTGAAACATTCCAGCAATAAAGCAATAACATCTCTGTGGAGAAAAGTATTTGATGGACTCTCCACCAAAAAAGTTACACTATGCACCTTTAAGCAATCTTGTAATTTTGTCATCGCTAAAGGTTGTGAACAAAGCCCATTACGTCTTAAATCTATTTATGCAAAATAACACCACCATCACTCTTCTTGGCTATAAAAAAACTATTCATGTTTGTTCAGGTGCCAAAGAAGTTCTTCTCGTCATTGGTGGATTTGGTAGTCAGCAGTCGCCAATCGATGTAGTAGAAAAATATGATCCCAAAACTCAAGAGTGGAGCTTCCTTCCGGTGAGCAAAAATAACAGGGTACTTTCAGTAGACGTATTTAAAAGTAAGAATTGCATAGCATATGCCATGTCTGCAGCAGGAAGCATTTTTATGTTTATGCTGTTAATTTACATATCATTGTTTTGGTTATTTAATGTTTTGTTATAATGGAAAATTTCATGGAATCTTCATAACCATTCAAATCATTTCAACTTACCCATATAGTCCGGTTCCTTATTGCCATTTTTGGACCTTAGTGGGAAGTTTTTGGGGATTTGCTAACCTATATATTTTTGGAAAGGTTATAGTATATGGAGTCAGAAAATCAATGTTTGCATTTGCCCACATGTCTTTATGGCGGCCATATTGGATTTTTTTAAATGGCCGCCAAAAAAACCCCTTTTTGGAATATCTCAGCCTCTGAATAAGTTGAAATGTTGATTTTAACTGCTAAACCCACATTTTCAGGGTCAGGGAATCAAATGGTGCTAGTTACAAAGCTGTAAGACCTACCCACATTAACCCTTAGATGAATAAGTGGGTCAAATATGACCCGGTTTGGTTGTTTTCTTGCATTTTCACTGTATATTCACATGTAATACTCCATGTTCCTCCAAAAACATGTTTTTCTTTTTTTTTTATTATTATCCTGCTGAAATACATCAACAATATGGGTAAAACAAATTATAAACATCACATGCAGCTGGTCAGATAACTCAAAGAGTTTAAAAGTAGCTAACATAAAATTTGGATGTTGGATGTCAACATACACATTTAGACACAATATGATTACACAACTTTTTTATGAGACATTTTCTATACATCATCATTATCATCATCACTTTCATACAACCATAGACTGTATATATGAGTGGACAGATCTAACACTGTAGCCGCCATGTGCCAAATAGGAAGTTCTCCAGGAGGCTCTTCCAGCTCCTTCTGACTCTGGCTCCAATGGACTTATATTAGGATCTTGTGGCTCCTCTCTCTATACCTGCTGCAGTGAGCCTTGACATTTTGGTCTTAAAATGTTTGTATGAACCCGCTCTACATGATCCTGATTACCTATGCCAAGGAGGTTATGTTTTTGCCGGCGTTTGTCTGTTTGTTTGTTTGTTTGTCTGTTAGCAACATAACTCAAAAAGTTATGGACCGATTTTGATGAAATTTTCAGGATTTGTTGGAAATATGAAAAGGAAGAACTGATTTCATTTTGGGGGTGATCCGGAAGAAATCCTGGATTCTGGATCACTTTGAAATTTTAGTTAACATTGTGGTAAATGGGGCCAAAAATTTTGTTTCTCAATATCTCGGTTAATTATTGACCAAACCCCATGAAATTTGACTCAGGGATGGACAATGGGATCCTCTTTCATATTCCAAAGGCTGATCTGGATCTGATCCAGAAGACTGATTTTATCGCAATTTCTATAAAAAATGGGGGTAGTCCTTGGTGGAGGTCTGCGCTCTCTGAGTGCTTTTCTAGTTTTTTGTTTTTTTTTTACTATTTTGTAGATCAAAAAAATCCTATTCATAATATAAAGCCCGTGGCTGGATGAGGTCCATCCTGAGTACCTTAAGTCTCTGGATGTTGTGGGTCTTGGCTGACACGCCTCTTCAACATCGTGTGGCGGTCGGGGACAGTACCTCTGGACTGGCAGACCGGGGTGTTGGTCCCTCTGTATAAGAAGGGGGACCGGAGGGTGTGTTCCAACTACAGGGGAGTAACATTTCTCAGCCTCCCCGGTCTGTGCCAGGGACTGGAGAGGAGAATCCGACCGTGGTTTTCGTCCCGGTCGTGGAACACTGGACCAGCTCTACACTCTCCATCAGGCGCTCGAGGGTTCATGGGAGTTTGCCCAACCAGTCCACATGTGCTTTGTGGATCTGGAGAAGGCATTCGACTGTGTCCCTCATGGTGTCCTGTGGGGGGTGCTCTGGGAGTATGGGGTCCGGGGCCCTTTGCTAAGGGCTGTCTGGTTCCTGTACGACCGGAGCAGGAGCTGTGTTCATTGCCGGCAGTAAGTCAGACCTTTTCCCGGTGCATGTTGGACTTCACCAGGGCCGCAACTGTCACCGGTTCTGTTCATTGTATTTATGGACAGAATTTCTCGGTGCAGTCAGGGGCCGAACAGTCTGGTTTGGGGACCACAGGATCATCTCTGCTGTTCACAGACGATGTTGTCCTGTTGTCTTCATCAAACCAGGATCTGCAGCACTGGGGCAGTTTGACCCGTGTGTGAAGCGGCTGGTATGAAGATCATCTCCTCCAAATCCGAGGCCATGGTTCTGGACCGGAAAAAGGCGTCTTGCCCTCTCCGAGTGGGTGGAGAGTCCCTGCCTCAAGTGGAGGAGTTCAAGTATCTCGGGGTCTTGTTCATGAGTGAGGGGAGGACGGAACGTGAGATTGACAGGCGGTTCCCTTTTCCTGATATTACCATCGCTTGGTATTGTGATGTCCACCACCACGGCTCTGCTCTGTTTCTTATCCACCACCACTATGTCTGGTTGATCCATCACCATCCTGTCAGTCTGTATCTGGAAGTCCCACAGGATCTTGGCTCGGTCGTTCTCCACAACCTTTGGAGGTGTTTCCCACCTTGATCCTGGGGTCTCCAGCCCGTACTCTGCACAGATGTTTCTGTACACTATGCCCGCCACTTGGTTATGTCGCTCCATGTTTGCTTTCCCTGCAGCATCTTACACCCTGCAGTTCTGTGCTGGACTGTCTCAGGAGCCTCTTTGCACAGTCTACACCGTGGCACTTGTTTGGTGTGGTAGATCTGGGCCTCTATTACTCAAGTGCCCAGGGCCTGCTCCTGACCTCCAGAATGAGCCTCTGTGTGTCCTTCAGACCCTCTCAAGCCATTGGGATGGAACCCTCCATGCATGGTCAGGAGCTTTCGTGTCTTAACATCTGTGGTCTGTATCTCCTCCTTTGGCCAGCTTATGATTCCTGCAGGGATCTGATCACTGGCAGGGCAGAGCTGTTGATTGCCTGCGCCTTGTTCTTGCCATTGAGCTGGCTTCTTAGGACTTACCTCACTCTTTGCAGGTATTTGGCCGTAGCCACATTCCCTATATATGTATATATATATGTGTATATATGTGTGTGTGTGTGTGTGTGTGTGTGTGTGTGTGTGTGTGTGTGTGTGTGTGTGTGTGTGTGTGTGTGTGTGTGTGTGTGTGTGTGTGTGTGTGTGTGTGTGTGTATGTGTATGTATATATATATACACACACACACACACACACACATACCACAACATCTTGTGAATACCCTGTGATAGCAAATATATGCAATAAGTGCATGCGCAATTTGCTTCATTTAGTTTTCTTTAAATATCATAAAAGTTTTCTTTTAAATATCATGATGTCATGATAGCGGCAGTTGGTCCTAATGAAGGCTCAGGGTCCAGGTCCACGGTTCACCACTGCCAAGTACAAAGGCGACTGCAGAACTGCACACCAGAAACTAAAGGTTTATCCTGTACCGACATGTGTCAGTGCAGCAGCCAGTGCCAGAATGATGATGATTCCGAAGCCATGTTGTTGCATAGACTGTATAAAAGAAGTGGACTAAGTGAGTGTGACCCACAGAGTTCAGTACCACTCAAATGAGGCTCGTGATGTTCACGGTTACAGGAGCCAATCTGGAGCCAGACTCTATATTATGAAGAGGATCATGTGTCGTGGGTTAACACAAACATTTTAAGACCAAAATGTTTGAGGCTCACTGCAGCAGGTACAGAGAGAGGAGCCACAAGATCCTAATGTAAGTCCATTGGAGCCAGAGTCAGAAGGAGCCGAAAGAGCCTCCTGGAGAACTTCCTATTTGGCACATGGCGGCTACAGTGTTAGATCTGTCCACTCATATATACAGTCTATGGTTGTATGAAAGTGATGATGATAATGATGATGTATAGAAAATGTCTCATAAAAAGTTGTGTAATCATATTGTGTCTAAATGTGTGTGTTTACATCCAACATCCAAATTTTATGTTAGCTACTTTTAAACTCTTTGAGTTATCTGACCAGCTGCATGTGATGTTTCTAATTTGTTTTACCCATATTGTTGATGTATTTCAGCAGGATCATTTAAAAAAAAAAAACAACAACATGTTTTTGGAGGAACATGGAGTATTACATGTGAATATTACAGTGAAATTGCAAGAAAACAACCAAACTGGGTCATTTTTGACCCACTTATTCATCTAAGGGTTAATTTGGGTAGGTCTTACAGGTTTGTAACTAGCACCATTTGATTCCCTGACCCTGAAAATGTGGGTTTAGCAGTTAAAATCAACATTTCAACTTATTCAGAGGCTGAGATATTCCAAAAAGTGTTTTTTGGCGGCCATTTTTTTTTTAATCCAATATGGCCGCCATAAAGACATGTGGGCAAATGCAAACATTGATTTTCTGACTCCATATACTATAACCTTTCCAAAAATATATAGGTTAGCAAATCCCCAAAAAATTCCCACAAAAGTATATAAGGAACTGGACTAATATATGTAATAGTAGTGACAGCATTTTTGTTTTTCATTGTGCTTCTCCTTTCTCTGGTAGAACATAGCAAGAAAAAGGCGTTACGTAGCCACCGTCTCTCTCCATGACCGAGTTTATGTGATCGGGGGTTATGATGGGCGCTCACGACTCAGTTCTGTGGAGTGTTTGGACTACACGGCCGATGAGGATGGGGTCTGGTACACTGTGGCTACTATGAATGTACGTAGAGGACTCGCAGGAGCGACTACACTCGGAGGTGAGGGAGGTTGATACATATCCAAGACAAAATCCCCAGGCATATTTGTGACTGAATGTGGTTTGTGTGTCCAGATATGATCTATGTGGCAGGTGGGTTCGATGGCAGTCGCCGACACACAAGTATGGAGCGGTACGACCCAAACATTGACCAGTGGAGCATGCTGGGGGATATGCAGACAGCCAGAGAGGGGGCAGGGCTTGTCGTGGCTAGTGGACTCATTTACTGTTTAGGTAAATTAACACTTTTCGGTGTATAATATGTCCAATACTATGCTTTTTATTTATTCTCTGAGCATGGTTAAAGTCTATTAGTATACTACGATATTGTATTATCACAAATGATAGAGGGTATTTGCATTTGATTTCAGTAACATTAAATGCCAACTTTGTGCCTGTGGCACTTTTCATTATTAATAATAATAACCACTTTATTAGGTTCACTTAAAGTAGGCTGATACCAAAATATCTACGCAAGCATATACCTTTTATCTAAGTAATACAATATAAACAAGGTTGTACTTGAAGTGCCTCAGGAAAAGAAGATGAAATTATACATCTTATTCTGAATTGTTGTGACTCCACTCCAGGAGGATACGATGGCCTGAATATTCTAAACTCAGTGGAGAGATACGACCCTCACACAGGACACTGGACCAGTGTGACCCCAATGGCCACTAAGAGATCAGGTCTGTTTACTCAGCAGTCTGAAATGAAATAAATAAGGACAAAACATACATTTTTATTGATGCTGAAAATCCCTGTGTTTTTAGGAGCAGGAGTGGCGTTACTGAATGACCACATTTATGTAGTTGGAGGGTTTGATGGCGTGTCTCATCTGGACTCTGTGGAGGTGTATAACATCAGGACAGACTATTGGACCACTGTGGCCAGTATGACCACACCACGCTATGTCGGAGCTACGGTCCTCCGCGGACGCCTCTATGCGATAGCTGGGTGAGGAGGTCTTTAGTTCTTCAGGGTTTTAAAACATTTACCGGGCATATAATGGGCACCTGCATCCTGCTGTTGGAAGGCATATTGCAAAGGCTGCAATTTTTGAAGTACTAAATTTCCTCCACAAACAACAAAATATCTTGTCTCGAACTAGAACCTGAACCTTATTTCCATGTGATTCTTTTATTTGTTTTTCAGTTAATTTTTTTAGTCTTTTTGTCAATTTTTCCAGAATGTGTTTAAAATGTGAACTTGTAAGTCAGTAAGTAATGCTTTTCAGACAAATCACAGTTAGATATTTTGTCAAATTGTTTAGGGCTTATTAGGGTTTATTTAGGCCACAGTTGCATTTTTTGCTTGATCTGAACACCCTTGTCATGGTTTGGATTCAAGAGCAACTACAGTGTTTCCTTTGGGTTTATACAGAGCCTGCGGTGACCTAAGCAGTCCATATTTTTACAGTTTAGGTTAGGGATAAAAAATGTTGCCTATGGAGATCAATACTGCAAGTATAGCTCTGTTTTAATCATTTTTGTTGAGCTTGTTTTTAGACAAAACATTTTTTAGATGCAAAGTTTTGACATTGGGTTGCCATCATTTCCTTCTTTTATTAATGGGAAACACTGCCACTATTATAAGTGTATTGTTCTGCAATAGAAAAGCAAAATTTAATTGTATTTGTTTAATAGTCTTATGTTGTATCAGTTGTAAACCTGCTCCTGTTTTTGTGCAGATACGATGGTAACTCTCTCCTCAGCAGTATTGAATGTTATGACCCAGTGATCGACTCTTGGGAGGTGGTGACTTCCATGGCAACACAGCGGTGCGACGCAGGCGTGTGTGTACTACGAGAGAAGTGAACTATCTGAGAATGAACTTTAGGAAAAACCACTTCGTCAGAACCACACACAGTCCTGTTTGTTTATGCAAAAAAACTCTGAACACACAGAAGAGGTGTGGCCAATGGAGACTGAGCTGTGTACATTTAAAGGTGCTCTCTGTAACTTTTCTGGTGGAGGGTCTGCCACCTTCTTGCCCCCAAAGAATTTTTTATTGCTTTGCCTAGAAAATTCCAGTGTGTCATTTAGCACTGTCACGATTTCTGATAGACAATGTTAATAAAAAACAAAAGAATGTGATTTTCAACCTTAAATAATAGTGCTTTCTTTTATATTACCATGTGGTGTTCCATGAGTGTATACGTGTCATCTTATACTTGTTTTGATAGAGCTCAAGATCATTCTAAAGCTATTCAGGAATGTGAATGTGACTTTACCTACTTGTCAAACTTGTGGAGAGGTATTTTTCAAGGTATTTTTAGTAAACATATTAGTCACATGTGTTTTTATTTTAGTAAAGAATAACGCATGTAACTAATTAAAAGTCAAAATAGATCAGTTTAATGCTATACTGTGTAATATTTTGGCAAAGTAGAAATGTACCTATAGGGACAAATAAATGGCAGACCCCCCCACCATAAAAGTTACAAAGTACACCTTTAAAAGAGGCCTTACGGAGCCCATTGCCACATGCATGATGACTCGGGCCAGTGCTACACGTTGCTGTCATTACATTTGAGATTATTTTTTCATTTTGTCATCAAAGTGCAATATATTTCTACAAACAAGAACGAAGCACCTGCACTCGCTGCTATTGTTTTTGGCCTTTGTCACACAGTGGACATTATGTTGAAATTATGGACCTGAGACAGGAGACGTGACCAGATGGAGTGGTCAATGGATCATCATCTGAGCTTTTTATAGTACTACTTCTGTTGTATATCCAGATGTTTTAAATCAAATCACTATTTTATGAAGACAAAAGTGTATCTATTGTAAACAGGTCTTGTCTGGCTGAACTGAAGAACCACAAGTTTAAAATGTAGATGGTCATTTTTTCTGATCATAAATTGGTTATATAACAGTTTTATTATAGGCATATCCAGCCATCACTGTCATCTGAATAAACTTTATTTACAAAGTACGAACTGTGGAGCATCCTGTTTGAAGTTATCAAATATTATACGATTTTCTGATTTATGTTATGTTTCCTCATCACAAACATATCTGGAGTTCTGTTTTGTTTCATTCACACATATTTAACTCACAAACCCTGCATATTTAGACTGACTTTTACCTTGTGATCTCATGGGCATTACAGGAATTGCTCCACTGTGTTTTTAAACTCTATACTTACCATACTTTTTTTGTTTTTGTTTTAAGTCACTGGAATCATTTTGACAATTCAGCTCTGGAACTGCCCATCTCACATTAAAGGCAAAATATAGCTGTTAACTTGAAAACTACAACTTCATGACATCACAAGGTGGAACAGAGCATTCTGAGCTTTAGAGATGTAGACTTACTAAACACAAAGGATTCTTCAAACGTGTGAATGAAACAAAACAACTCAATAGGTATATTCATGGTGAGGCAACATTCTAACATGACTTAAAGCTCACACTATAGGACCTCTAAAATACGCATGGTGTGATTATTTTAATGCTCAGTAGTTGATTATACGTGTGGTTTGTAGAGAAAAAGTTGTAAGGTTTACTCAATCATGAAGACGCACTGCAGAGAGATCGTTTACGCAGCGCTTTTGGCACAGATGCTCGTATAGACCAACAGATCCATGGTATAGGCTGAGCGGAGGGGAGGGGCATTTGGAGCGCGCTGCTGGAGACACAAGACCAGTCATTCTTAACGCAAAACTTGATGCAATAACAACTTTTTAACTGGTCCATCTTTCTTTTCCCAACATAGCAAGAAATGGTGAGTCCTCTTTTGTTATTTTTAGGTCTATTTTAAGCATGGATGATTAAACTCGCCCTGTTTCTTTTGCGAGTTGCTCAATACCCATTTGCTCGCCTATAATTAAAAATAATGATTCTGGATAGCCCCAAGTACTTCCATTAGACATTAGGGCCTACATAAACTATTGTAGAACGGCAAAAGCTTCAAACGTGGAGAGCAGGGAGTAATTTACACGAATGCAACAGTAACACAAGGTCTAACGAGGATGCTTTTGTTTGATCAATGTAAAAAGTAGTCTATTTTCCGAAAGAACATACGACATAATGTGTGTTTCTCTAAGTGTTTATCGACTGCCACTCTAACTTGTTGAAAATTTAAGACCAAGCACAAGTTTTGTTCAAATAAATGTGAAATGTCTAGGCCTACTAACTATAGGCTACTATTGTCCAAGGGCAACTCTGGAAAACTCTTCAGTGCCGTTTAGGTTTGGGTCTCTTTCATGGTATTGTAAACTTTCCTGGAGGAGGGTGCCCCATTTCATTACGCTGTTATGTTACTGTATGTCCTCTAGGTTGCCTTTTATCCAGTTACACGTGTTTTTACTTTGAATGGGATTGCCTCTTCACAGATCTGACCTGTAACTTGGCCTGGTGTTAGCAACTACCTGTCTCCAAGGAGATGTTAATGTACAAAACAATACTGGGTCACTTTCCTGGCAAAGCAGAAGCCACTGAGAAGGTGGTTAACATGCTTGGGAAACCTACCAGATTCTGATTTCCATTTTTGCAACCAACAATGATTTTTAGAATTAAATGGACCTGTACTTTGAATGCTATCTCATTTTGTGCCATTTCCAGATTTGTGAATCATCAAAGATATGAGCCAGCAAAATGGTTAATTTCTCCTGGCTGCAAAAAATGACAACTCCTTTTCTACCAACTTAGCAATAGTAAGGACAGAACAATAAGCAACACAATCAAACTAGGCCAGGTTCAAGGTTCAGGACTAAACTTTCACTGTTTACATGTAACAATATTCATATTTCTTGGAGTGGTCGCAATGCAATCAGTCATCAGCTAAAAATCATCTTGGGATGTTCTTGGTCTTAGAAAAACAAAACCTGACATTCTCAACATGCCGAGACACGATTCTTTGAGGCTCTGAAAATGCATCAGTGAAGTGTAGCTATAGGCCCTGTGCTGTTCGCTCTATTGTTCTTAAATGAAGAGGAACACGCTAAAACAGCCAACTACAATATGCCATTAAAAGTAATCATTTTCGGTTTTCATAGAGGCTGTGTTTGATGTCCACGCACCTTGTATGAGACAGCAGGATTGACTGAGTTTAAAATTAATCAGGATTAGAGATGTCACTGTAAGATAATAGCTTGCAATTTGATTCGAGCTCAACTGCAATTGTGTCAATGGGCAAGACACATAAGATTTCACATGGAAACACAACATTGTCTAATCTGAAGCTAAAGATGTTTTATGATCAGCTTGCATCCATAGATTTATATGGGACATTGTAACTAGACCGTGTTCTCAAAATGCATTTTTTTCACGGGGACATACAGATCACGCCTTAAAATAACACACAAATTTACCAACTTACCTACTACAATATTTTTATGAATTGTACCACAGGACTTGATTTCTTTACTCCTAAAACTTTAAACACCAATTTTCAGTAAGATCAGGTTGTAGTTTTGACAAGCTACTACAATTTCAAACTCTATTTCGAAAGTATATACTGTATATATTACCATGTGGTCTTATATCTGTGTAATCCCTCAGTTGTCCAGGGAGGTTCCATATTTGTCCATGGGCGTATACTAGTCTTTGTGCTCTTATACTTACTTATTCTAAAGCTATTCAGGAACGGTTCATTTCTGTCCCATGAATGTGACTTTGTTAGTATTGATACTTGTTCAAATGAGTATCTAGTTTCGCTACTCATTTTAGTACCGTATCTTATTTTAGATACATTTGACAACACTAATTAACGTGTACATTTTCTGTTATTTGTTCCTATAGAGAGAGTGCATCTCCATCCACGTGGGCCAGGCTGGCGTGCAGACGGGCAATGCCTGCTGGGAGCTCTTCTGTCTAGAGCACGGGGTGGGGCCTGATGGGGTGTTTCTGGAGGGTCCCACGGAGCCAAACTCACGAGAAGACCCCTTCAACACCTTCTTCAACACGGGCAGCTCCGGCAGACATGTCCCCCGGGCTCTGTATGTGGATCTAGAGCCCACTGTGGTTGGTAAGTGCACTGCTCTGCTGTTAATTAGTGGTGAGCAATATTGGTGGTTTTCAGGTTCTCATGGTATCTACAGCACTCAAAAGTATCAGAAATCAAATGCTAATCGATACTAAAACAAGTATTGAAACTAGATACTCATTTTGAACAAGAGTATAAGAGCACATAGACCAGTATACACCCATGAAGCACTGTGGAACCTACCTGGATGACTGAGGGATTACACACATATAAAACCATATAATAAAAGCACTGCAATTTTAATTTTAAGTATGTACTCAGTTTTATTGAGTATTGAGTCTATTCTGTAGTATCAAAAGCAAATCAGCCTTTCAGTTAGAGGAGATATTTGTTCATTTCTTTTTCTCAAGCCAAATATTTTAAGGCTGCGTTCAAAATTGCACATATACTACATTAAATTAGGACAAAATCAAGACTAAACCAGGACTAGAACAGGAGTTTACCAAGTGTACATCTAAACTAAACCCAAGCATAGACCAAACCAGAACAAGTGTGAGCTCAACAAGCCATAAAGACTATTTTAATCAACCATGTTGCATCATCGAGGGGTGAATATTAGAAAAGCACACTGTATGTTCATTTTGCTTGAGCGCCTCTGTCCACAGATAAGCCGGTGTAACAGTTGCAGGTTTCTAAGCAACAGGTCCAGAGGTGGCATACAAAGGCTTGCCACTATTTGAGGTACACAATATGAACTAGTACATTGTTTAGTGTGTATTATTGATCTCTGTATAGCTGGATCATGTTACACATGGAGTCAGTGTTTCTCAATCTGTGGTACATGGGCTGCCTCTGGTGGCATGGGACCTCTGCAGTTTTTTTGTTGTTGTTTTTTTAAGGCAAATGTTTTCATGTTTTTGTCCTGCATTGGGTTATTCATTATTTAGAACAACTTCATTCATGGGTTAGTTTCTTTTATTCCTTTTATTCCTAGACCATGTTTAGCCCTAAATTAGGACAGATATAATCCAGGTTTAGGTTTAGGCTCTAGTAGTATAATTTGTAATGTCTTACATACGATTTAATCCCAGGTTCTTTTCCAATCACACTGAGGAGTACATATTGTGTTTTCAGATGAGGTTCGTGTGGGTCGGTACAGAGGGCTCTTCCACCCGGAGCAGCTCATCTCGGGGAAGGAAGATGCAGCCAACAACTATGCCCGCGGTCACTACACAGTGGGGAAGGACATCATCGATGACGTCATGGAGAGGATCCGCAAAATGGTGGGTTTGACACAGTAATATTTAAGCAGTATTTGTGTGGTTCTTGATGAGCTTCACAAGCCTACTGGAAGCATGGCTGCCAATCTGTAACCTTTGATTGGCCCCTCCTGTCGCCAAATCACTCTCTCACACACATTCAAACAAAGACAAAGCGTCATGCCCAAGGGCACAACAACAGTATACAGTGAATAGACATGTGATTGCAGTCAAAGCCAAGCATATTTAGAAACATCTTTGCACATTAGATATTTCTTCTTTTACCTGACAATTCTGTTAGCGAGATGTTGACATGTTTTGACTGCTAGCTGATAGCTATCTTCAGAATTGATCCAAAAGTTGCATCGCTGCGGTTGTTTGATTTGATTTTTATGAAAATATTCAAAAGGCGGAAAGGTTAGAATTATACTAATGGACATAATCATGTTTTAGAAATTCCAAATTAACATTAAAGGAGACATATGCATTTTAACTTTATATTTTGTTCATTTTTAAAACAGCTTAGTAATAGAAATAGGACAACCTAATTCCTGTCCAAAAGTGCAAAGCTGATAGACCTAGAAAAAGCTAATGATGAGGATTGTAACATGGTTAAAATATGTCTTCTTTAAAGACAGTCTGGAATTTTGGACATAGGACCTCACTTCCTAGTGAGCCAGGGTGTTGGAGAAGTGTGGAGACACTTTTTAAAAATATTCCATCTATTCCTTGTATTTGCAGAGGTCGCTGGTGCTAGGCTAGTGCATGTCAATGGCCATAGTTATCCTGCTACTAAAAACAATCTTACCCACTCCACAAAACACCTGAAGCAAATCTGTTATTAAGTCAGATTGACCAAGTAAAACCAACCTTGCATTTGAAGAATTTATGTTTGAGCATGAGCAGTGAGTTGTACTTCCTGATAGGAAGCTTGGCTGATATCATCTAGCAACACTGTTGGGCAAGTTACTTTGAAACTGTAATGCGTTATTTATTACCTATTACTGTCATTTCAAAGTAATTCGTTACATTACAATATTACTGCATTTAAAATGTAAGGCATTACATTACTATTGCATTACTTTAAGTTACTCTCACCAAAATAACTTTTGCACTGTATATGGACTGAACCAGGACTAAACCAGGTCTAAACCAGGACTAAACCAGAGCTGAACCAGGACTAAACCAGAAGTGAACTAGGACTAAACTAGAACTGAACTTGGACTAAAACAGGACTCACTGTAGGGACGGGCTCGAAGGTGACCGCAGGAGAAAGGAGCGGCTCTGCTCCTCACCTCACGGAGGTAAGAGCGGCTGTCACCCTGCTGCTCGGGCTCGCGGCCCTGATTTCAGCAACTATTTGCAGGTACCCGAGCCGGTGCAAGAGTCTGTTACAGCGCGTAACTTCTACCTTCCTTCAGCGTGTCCAGAAGTCCAACTTTTTGTGTGATGGTTTGCATCTTCCTCTGCCTTTTGGGTGCGAGTGCAGGAGCCTTTGTCGGTGCAGAATGTTTCGTCGACGTTGTGGGTTTTCGTCGGGGAGAAAACTTGCAACCGTACAACACTTCAGAATCACACTGCTAGAGATTGAACATGTATTTAAATTTGGCAAGCTGAACACATTCTGTACTGTACTGTACAGGAGACAGGAGTCCCTTGGCCAGTCAGGACGCAGCGGGAGGAACGCAATACGCATTCATACAATGTAAAAAAAACAGGGCATGCAAAATTGCACAAAAAAAAAAAAAAAATCTGCGAGACAGCGAAAAGTGAACTGCGATAGAGGGAGGGACGAGTGTAAACCAGGTCTAAACCAGAACTGACCCAGGTCTAAACCAGGTCTAAACCAAAACTGACCCAGGTCTAAACCAGGTCTAAACCAGAACTGACCCAGGTCTAAACCAGGTCTAAACCAAAACTGACCCAGGTCTAAACCAGGTCTAAACAGTTCTTTGTCAGTCCTTCCTTTTTACCTGAAGGTCTATGAGGGCGCATCTCCGGCGTTTCACCGCTGCTGATATCGAGGTGATTTTAGCGAATTTGTATGAAGAAAAACCCACCACTTCAATCCAGGTTAAAAAAAACACTGTAACGCGCGTTACTCACATTTGTACCGAGTAAAATATTACTATTTTTTCCCCTGTAATGCCTTGCATTACTGCGTTACAGCAAAAAGTAATGCATTACTGTAATTCGTTACTTTTATAACGCGTTACTCCCAACACTGTCTAGCACCTAGCTTACCAGCAAAGTAAAATTCCACTGCTGCTGAGAAAATAGTCCCTCAATATGCGACGATTCATGCGATGCAAGGTTAGTTTTATTTTAAGCATTATTCTATCAACACAGACAATTACATTGACTATCTGGTGTAATAATAGATTTGCTTCGGGTGTTTTGTGGAGTTTAGTGGCAGGCTATGGCCGTTGACATGTGCTAGTCTAGCACCAGCGACCTCTGCAAATACAAGGACAGGATGGAATATTTTAAAAAGTGTCTTCACATGTCCCCAACACTCTGGCTAACTAGGAAATGGGGTCCTATGTCCAAAATTCTAGACTGTCCCTTTAAAGTGAAACTAAACACCTAAACACCTGGCTGCAGGAGAAGTTTGCATCCATATTTTGGACAGAGTTGCTAAACTGGGCAATACCTGACAGATTCAAAGGGAGAGTGAGAAAGCACTAGGGGCAGGATTTGGACATATGAGGAACAATGTGATTGGTCTAACAGGTATTCACTTTTTAAACTCCACCTCAGCTGCCAGGTGTTTGTTATGCTGTAATCAGGGCAGTCTTGCATGATGTCACCAACTACTGGAATTTGCAGAAGCTACTGGAGCCAGCCATCCTTGCCAGAATGCCTGTGTAAAATCTTTCTTCCCCTCTCTCCTCAGACAGATCAATGCACTGGGCTGCAGGGTTTCCTGGTCTTCCACAGTTTCGGAGGAGGCACTGGCTCTGGATTCACCTCTCTGCTGATGGAACGCCTCTCTCTGGATTTTGGCAAAAAATCCAAACTCGAATTCTCTGTTTACCCTGCCCCTCAGGTCTCTACCGCTGTGGTCGAACCTTACAATGCCATCCTGACCACCCACACCACTCTGGAGCACTCTGATTGTGCATTTATGGTTGATAATGAAGCTATCTACGACATATGCCAGCGTAATTTGGATATCGAAAGCCCTGGGTATATAAATCTTAATAGACTTATCGCTCAAATTGTCTCCTCCATCACTGCTTCTCTTCGCTTTGACGGAGCGCTAAACGTTGATCTGACCGAGTTTCAAACCAACTTGGTGCCATATCCCCGGATCCATTTCCCGCTGGTGACATATGCTCCAATCATTTCAGCGGAGAAGGCATACCACGAGCAGCTAACAGTTTTGGAGATCACTAGTGCATGTTTTGAACCGTTGAATCAGATGGTGAAGTGTGACCCTCGCCGTGGGAAGTACATGGCGTGCTGCCTCCTGTATCGTGGCGACGTTGTGCCCAAAGATGTGAACGCTGCCATTGCCAACATCAAAACCAGACGCTCAGTTCAGTTTGTGGACTGGTGCCCCACTGGGTTCAAGGTAAGAGAAAAAACATTACTAGAGACTGGTCAGTAGCGGGGAGAGTAGCCAAAATTGTACAGATGTAAGATTACAGTTGCTTTAAAATTATATTATTACATGTTAAGATACATTTAAAAATACAATAAAATCCAGTGAGGAAACATTATCTGCACGTAAAATCTGATTAATGATTCTGTGTTTTAGTTTTGAACTGAGCACAGACAAAACATTCAATAATGTGGAAAATCAGGGAATTTCTTACTTGGAAGAAGAAAAACTACTTGCTAGGAGACATCATCCAAATTTTTGCTGTCCTCACTGGCCTTCTTTGAAATAATATCACTCAAGTGAAAATGAGGGGAGTTCGCATGAGGACAGCACACAGTCTGTATTCATGTATCAGCTCTGTTGCATTGGAAATTACCATTAATTTTATTTAGTTACAAGTTACATGAACATGTTACATTCATTTAAAGGTGCACTCACCATCATTTTAAGTGGGGGTCCACCACGTGCTTCCCTCCATGGAGAGAAAGTTCAAAATATGGCATTAAAAATAACTTTGAATTTATTCAATCAATTAGGTTTTTATTGCTGAAAATATAGTGCAAAAATGCATTTTTACTTCACTCAGTTGATCTGTTACATTGGCTGGTTGTGTCACCTTTTCTCCATGGAGATAAAGACATTTAATGCCATATTGTGGGCCATTCCAGGTGAATTAATGACATCTCCACAGAGATGAGCAGGTGGCAGACGTTCCACCAGAAAAATTACATAGTGCATCTTTAACAAAATCACTTCAAATCTTAAGTGTAATCCATAGTTACTATATTTGATAACTTATTATGGAACATTTTTAGGACTTTTTCCCTATTTATAAGATATTATATTTTGTTTTACATTGTTAATCACCATGGCAATGGTTCTAATTTGTTATCATTCTGAAACCCAAGCATAGGAGGCTGCAATGTAATCTAATACCATCTAACCTACTTGTTTTTGTTCATCTTGTCCTTGAATTATGTTTGACTATGTAAAGCATCTTTGAGTTGCCAGGAAAAGCGCTGTATAAAACCGATGTATTACTATTACTATTGTTATTGTAAATGTAATATTCTCCTTGTCATGCTCAGGTTGGCATTAACTACCAGGCCCCCACTGCTGTCCCCGGTGGAGACTTGGCTAAAGTGCAGCGGGCAGTGTGCATGCTCAGTAACACCACCGCCATCGCCGAGGCCTGGGCACGGCTGGACCATAAGTTTGACCTGATGTACGCCAAGAGGGCCTTCGTGCACTGGTACGTGGGTGAGGGCATGGAGGAGGGGGAGTTTGCTGAAGCCAGAGAAGACCTGGCCTGTCTGGAGAAGGACTACGAGGAAATGGGCAAAAACAGCTCTGATTCTGAAAATGAAGAGGATGATCAAGAATATTGAATGTTTAGAAGTGACATGTGTGGAGAATGGGCTGTACAATATATTGCAAAAGTATTGATATTGCAACTGGTTTTTGTTTTGTTTTGTTTTGTGTTTATGGTGATCCATGTAATTTTTCTTGTAAGAACTCAGATACCTGCTTGCCTCCATAGCCACGTTAATGCTTTGCCTGGAATGTTACAGTATGGTGGTGTTTTTCGAACTGTGGTACATGGGCCGTCTTTGGTGGTATACAGGTCCTCTACAGTTTGATTTTTTATTATTATTATTTTTTTTAAGTTTTAATTTAGGAATAAATCGTTAATGTGTTTCTCTAATGTTTTTCATGCTTTGGATTAGTTTTAGAACTACCTTATTCATTATTAAGTCTAATTTTAGAGCAGGTATAGTGTAATGTTAGACCATGTTTGGCCCTAATTTAGGCCTGAAAGTCCAGGTTTCAATCTGGTGGTTCTTGGGAAGCCAAATATAAGTTAGGTGGTACTTGGTACTGAAAGTTTGAGAAGATGAGACGAGAAGATGAGATGAGAAGATGACAAAGCCCCCACCAATGATACATGCACCTTTAAATGTAACCAGAGATTTAAATTATAGTTTTCCACATTAGGTCTTGGTTTAGTCTCTGTTAAGTTGTTGTTTCAACAGAGATTGACTAATAAAGTCAGAGATCCTACTCAGATAGGGCCAAATCGGTTTCCTGTTTCATAAAACAGGTCTGGAGCAGAGTTACATCACTCAGAGTAAATTCACCTTGTGTTCAGTTCAGGACAGAAGCCACTATCAGTGGGTCCCAGAAAGGAGGATTCACTATTGCAACGGTAAACCAAAGGAGGCTTCCATGTTAGCAACAGGAAGTCATGTGACTGTGGATAGGTTCAACTCGGATTAAAATGATATGTTAAATAATACTTTAATAAATAATTGGTATCATGCATTAAAACACATTATCATTATTATTACTATATTTTATTTTTTACACTTTTGTAGCTCTTTAAATACTGCTTTAAAACTCAAATTTACACATCATCACTTTGCACATGTTGCACTAAAAGGTCTCATCTATATTTGATCATTTGAAATGCAGTAACATAAACCGTACTTTCATGCATGACTAACATTAAATACATTTTACATTTTATTCATTTAACTAAATTAACTGATCTATCAACTTGACTAAACTCATTTAACAGTTTATCATAGCAGTGAATTGTGTCAGCCTATATTATAAATTGCAGCTTTTTCTTCTACTCCTGTAAATGGATAACCAACAAACCAGGACCAGTGTGAATTTCAGGGTAAAGGGTAAGGGGGTGATATAACTAAATGGGTGAGGGGCTGTTTTAGAAAGAAGTATCTAAACAGAAAATTCATTATTATTGAACTTGATCATTGATTATCAGTGATCCAGTCTACAGACAGTCTGCTCAGTAATCTGGTGAAGTTGTTTTTTTAGAAACCCAAATACTTGACATAATTCTATCACATAGACTGTTTATATAAATGGGCATAGCTAACCCTCTAGCCACTGTGTTTCAGATAGGAAGTGAGCATGGGGGCACTTCCTCGACTCTGCCTCCAATTGACTTTACATTGAAAAACTGTTACCCCTCTCTCTGTAACTGCGGCAGTGAGCCTTGTCATTTTGGTCTTAAAATGTTCATAATAAGCCGCTCTATATGATCTTGGTGTTTTTATTCTGTTATTTTGTCCATAAATAAATTCCTATTCCTAATACAGAACTCGGCTCTGAATTTACCCCTTTAGCCTCATGAGCTTCATTTGACTGGAGCTGAATGCTATGGGTGACGTCACACTCCCTTTGTCCACATCTTTATAAAGTCTATGATACACCATCTGCTTGTCTCCATGGGGATGATATTGCTTTGTCCAGAATGTTATACAGTATGTTACTTATCTATCTTCATGGAAACAAGCAGGAGATGCCATTAGTTCACATTAAATGCACCAATATAGTTTTAAATACCACTAATAAGAAAATTAAATGCAAGTAAGTTTAATACCAAATTCCAGGAAAAGCCTAGAGACTAGGTGATGGATCCCACACAGAAAAAGCCACCGTTTCAGTTTTGATCTGTGTGCTCTTGGTAATTCTATGGGATCATGTAAATGGTATATTTTCTCAAATAAATAAAAGACTTGTTGTTTAGGGTTTAATAAATCAGGTTGTTGCTTTATTCAGTTAAGACATTTTGTTATTAATAATTACATCTGGATTTGGATCATATGAGGATTTGCTGCTGAAATTAAAACTACTGCCCAACGCTTGGATGTTACCTGATTGAAATAAAATAAATAAACGATTAATCCAACTAGGCCTCCTTCCAAATTGACCCAAATAAGCAACAGGATTTTGGAAAGGTTAGAAGCAATGATGAAATTGTAGTTTGTAGTTACGAAGCAAACATTAAGGTTTTGAATCATTTAGGTTTGTTTTGTTGTGCATCCCCAGTGGAGCCCAGTCCCTGTTCAGAGCCTGTGTTTGGAGCCGTTTTAAGGCTCCAGCCAAAGTAAGAACCTCATCGGCTTTAAACAATAAGTCCCGGTACTTGTGAAGGTGTCACCTGAAAATATTCATCCGCCAAGTGTAAACACTCCTCTCCACAAAGGGAGGAATTGTTTCAAAAATATGTCACTGTATTGACAATCGAATTATGAACAATTAATTACAGCCCTTTTAACGGATTATGTCAAAGCTGGAGTCCTGATGCTGAGACACTAGTTCTTAGAAGGCTGATGTAGACTCACTATATTTATGAATCAAGAGATTTCAAGGAACCTGTATATTTCAATGGAGTTTTTGGTTTAAAAAGTAATCCATTCATTTTAATCTAACTTAGCAATAGTCTATTTTTTATTTCTTATCTATACAGCCCATTTGATGCACTCGCACATTGTTTATTGAGAGCTAAAATTCTAGGTCAAAATCAGAGTACATATACCTGTTTAATGAATAAAGTTCTCTCTTGGTAGATTGCAAAATAAATCCAAACTATTAGGAAATATCATAAATAAAGTTAGCCTTTGCTCTGGGCAGGCCCATTAAAGGTATGCTATACTATCTGCAATATTATCACTATATCTCTTTGGCATTTCATGTGCACTGCAACAGTTTTCAGTGAAGTTGCCTAAATATCCTACTGGAGGGTCTTCTACTGATTGAATGAAGAACAGGCACATTAACTGACTATTTCTAGTATTCATCTTTTGTTACTCACATAGAAATATAAGATTTGGGGGCAATGGAGAGGCTAAACCTTAACATTTTGTGAAACATGACAGATGGCACGTGCACATATGAAAAGTAGCTGGTGACTATTTTTTCGGGCGGACGTGCTCACTGCCTTGGAACAGTCCCCTCTATGTGCGTATGTGTGCGTAATGACTGTGGTGCTGTCTCCTCTGTGTTGATGTGGACTCGCCGCCTGCCGCTGCCTCTCTCACGGCTCGTATTTCTGGATAAATCGCTTCGGGAAACTTCGTGACACGGCCGTAGCTGCGTCCCGTCCCCTGTGAGCCGCCGCTGGGTCCGGTCCGAAACCATGAACCAACCAAGACCGGACGAGTTCAAACCCCCTCCTGAATGCCCGGTGTTCGAACCCAGTTGGGAGGAATTTGGTGATCCTTATGCCTTCATCAATAAAATACGGCCCATCGCTGAGAAGACTGGCATTTGTAAAGTCCGTCCGCCCCCGGTGAGTGTAAAAACATACCCGAAAAACACTGTGGGGTCGCTGGGATGCTGATTTGGGTTGAGCGTAAAGAAGACGGCTGCGGATGGAGAGTCTCGGGGATTTAAATGGACTCTTCAACATGGCGGATACAAGGCTACTTTCATTCTTTGTGCTGTTGCTGCTAGCCGGCTATTATTTATGATATTTGCGTTGAAACTTTCTGTTATAGTTGTGCAGTGGCCCGTTTGGACAATTCATATGCGTAGTTCATAAGGAAATGTTGTTTACGTCGCTGCGTAATACAAAGATTCATGTGTCCCTTAGCCAGGATAGGCTAACATTAGCAAACAGCTCTAACCTGTCATAATTTAGGCATTGACAGAGGCTATGCGGAAGCCGATCAGCAGATAATAATTCTGATAAAGTCAAATAAAAGATTAAAATCCATATTGTTATAAAACATGTTCTATATTGTCTATAGCAAGGCATGTTTGGCACAATTTGTGGATCATTTGGTGAAGACCTCATGATGCACTGGCAGACTTGGTCTCAGTTTCTGGTCAACAGGCCTAAAATATAAATAATGTAATTACCTTTTTTTGCCTATAAGTTGCATATATTTTTTATTTTGTTTAATATACTGTCATTATCACAGTGTGGTACATCCAGTACTTTGATCTTTTCAAAAAAGCTTGGCTTTTGGAAAAAGGGAAAATATTGAATTTAAAGGTCACACAAGGTTATATTACACAACTTTTCCAAATTTTGAGCATTATTTAGTATTGTATTGGAGATTCACCAATGTTTCTTGCTTGAGCCTTGTTGGGTGGTGTCCTCCATGTTGGCTTTGTGGTAAGCTGCTGGTGAATGAGGCTTCCATCTGGCCATTTTGTTTGTCAGTGGGGGATGTGGGCTACTGACTTACATTAAGATTTTAGGCTTATGGTGGCACAATTATGAATCAAGTCAACCAGTATTAATTTGTCTTTTGACAGTTGACCCAAAAAGATGATTGAGGATAGCTGTTTTGGTTGACAATACCTGTAGTTATATATATTGTGTTATTGGTGTAGGTAGGCCAATAGAGATAATGATATTCTTTAGATATTCTTAAAGTTACCACTCTTTTTTAAATTAAATATGTTTTATTTTTCTTTGTGCATATCTATGCTACCTGTGCGCTCTAGGGTTGGCAGCCTCCTTTTGCTTGTGATGTTGACAAACTACACTTTGTCCCTCGTATCCAGAGGCTCAATGAGCTTGAGGTAAACAATATAGCTTTTTATTTAAGTATTTTAAAATGTAATTAGCTTGTTACCAATGTGTTTAATTAACCAATTATAAAGCAAATGTTAATTTATAACGTAATTATGTGCACTCAAATACAATCACTGTAGTCATTTGTAATTATATGTTAATTCCTTATGTCGTTAGTATTTTCATTCAGTCATACTTGCTGAACCCCATACAATTTACATATGCACAGCTGAACCTTTACTTACTGTGTTGGGTTGTGGGTTGTTTTCAAATTGTAGAATGTGACAATGCCAATTCTTTCAAATTAGGGGAGGAGTCATGAT